ATATATATATATATATATATATATATTTTTTTTAAGAATTATTTTATTTAGCTTTATTTATTCATTCATCTGTTTATTTTTTTATTTTAATTTGACCAGAGAGGGACAGAGAGAGAGAGAGAGAGAGAGAGAGAGAGAGAAAAGGAAAGTGAGAAAGCAAGACGCCAGGTATGAGACTTCAACCATGATCGGCCAGGTGGGAGTCTAGCACCTTAACCACCATGCCATCTGCTGGTCCCATGGGATAAGCATATATTAAGGCAAATGGCTAAATCGATCTTGAAATCTAGATTTAATTTGATATGTATGTATCCCATTTTCTTAAAATCATACCCTCAGTATTTTATTCAATAGTTTTCTTATGGAAACAAAAGACAAACTAGCCAACAGTTTTGTTGTTATTATACTGGGTTGTTGAAAAAGTCGTGATGTATTTTTTCTATGTTTTTCTATGCAAAAATGTGTCATGACTTTTCTGACAACCCAATAGAGGACTAGTTGGTTACACTGGAATTTTAAGGAAAAATATTTTACTATTTTGAACAAAAACCATGATTCTACAGTTGCTTTTAATGCAGTGATGGAATACGATTTTGGACAGTTTAGATAACTCTCAACCATAAGTAACAAAAGTATTCTTAATAAGTAAAAATTAGAGCTATCATGGTTACATATGAATTATTCAAAGGTTAATCATTTAGGTTTCAAGGTATATCCTTTAGTTTTTCTTATGAAGCCACTTAAGTTACGTATTTTTGGTATTTTTCTAAAAATTCATGCTGCGTTACCATTTTTAGGACATTTGCTATATTTACATAAGACCTAGTTTTCAGATAAAATAAATTAATTTTACCTAAATAAATTAAGCAAACAGCCACACAGTACCAGAAATCTGACAAACACATAGAAAAGCACTGAGGAGATAGAGTAACTACCCTTAGATCAATACCCTAAGAAAATCCAAAACTTTGAAAGAAAGATTTCATTAATTAAGGTGGCAAAGCAGAGCCACAGCCTTGAATCCAGTAGAAGAGTTTGGAATTGTTTTTCAGTCTCCTCACATGATTCTGCTATATACATAGATCATAAGCATATTATCACTATTATAAAAATGAGGAATTCAAAATCCATCATGACAACGAGAGGACCATACTGACAGTTGTTCCTGGAGGGATTCGTCTCTCAGAAGATTTCTGAGTGGGTTTGCAGTTGGAGGGGCGAAGCCCTTTAGCAATGGGGTCAGGGGCTGTCCCTGAAGCCTGGCTGCAGGCAGCATTCCTCCTGCGCCAGCTCAGGCTAGGTGCTTTTGGAGACTCCCCAGCAGAACCCTCAAACCACACACTACCTCCGATGAGAGAGTGTTCAGCATGGTTTCTTGGGCTCCTGTCTCAGGCTCCTGCTAGTTAAGAGATGATAACCAGCATTATGGCTTCATGCTGTATCATTCACTACGCATTAAAGTATAGCTTTCACACTAGTGTTAAACAGAAATAACACATTTTAAATCTACAGTGTTCTCTCCTCTGAGAACTAGCAGGACTGAACAGCACAGTTTACCCTTCTCCATATGAAATGCTACAAATAGAAGAAGAAACGTTCACACGGCCTGGATTCCATGGTCTGTCCTACACTCTAGCTGCTTTGCACATTTGTTCATTTTCAGAGCTATCGGTCGTCACATCTGTCTGCTCTTTCCCTCTCCATTTTTTCCAGGATCTTGCAACTTAATTATTTTCTCCTTAGAGAAGCCTTTGATTTTATGAAAAAGCTAGAATTAGGTGTCCAAGTTATAATTTCTGTGATAACCAGTTACAAAAATGTCCCTAGCTCAGCATTTAACAACTTGTCATAATAGGAAAAATATAACTGGTACCAAAGTGAAATGATAAAATGTTACTACTCTCTCCTCTTAGCATTAATTTGTAGGCAGAACTTTATTTAAATAAAAATCAGTCTACCTCTCTGTTGTATTATTAAGTGGAGGGGCTCAAGCACTTTGTCAGTAATAAACGGTCCCCTTGGGGGGCCCAAGTGAATGACTGCATTGACAGCCTGTCAGCTTTGAAGAGTCAGATCCCTGAAATCGCCCATAATCAAATGCTTGGCCTGGCCCGGGAACAAAGGACAGGCTTCTCTATACTTTAAGGCCAATGAACACAGCTCGAGCAGGGGGAGGCACAACCTGCTCATGCAGACAAGGGTGGATTTGGGACAAGCAGGCTTAATGGCAGCCTTTCAATTGCAGGGGTGGCTTCAGGGCTCTATTTCTGGAACTTCTTATTTTTCTGATTTGCAAATTATGGGAAAAGAATTTGTA